TCTATCTATCTATCTATCTATCTATCCATGTATCTATCTATCTATCTATCTATCTAACTATTTATCTATCTATCTATGTGTCTGTCTATCTGTCTATCTATCTATCTATCTATTCCTGTTGCTCCCACTTGAAGCATAGGGCAACCATGAAACGTTTCGTTTCACTTCAGGTTCTTGATCTTAAGACAGATGTAGGACTCCTTGGACGGGGGGTCAGTCCGTCGCAAGGCTATGTAGGACAACAGAAACACAGACTAAGCGCAGAGAGACAGTGTGGGATTTCGAACCCACGATCCTAGCGTTAGAAGATATTTTATGCCTTAGACCGCGCGACCGCTGTGACCAGCATATATATGTATAACGTTATGTAGTTTCGATGCAATTACAAATCGCATAACCCAAATTTCTTCATGTAGACAAATATATTATTCAGGGTCAGAATATACTCTTTAGACACCCAGTTTTAGACTGTAGATCGCTCTAACGACCTTTACGAACAGGAAACCTACTTGCTGTTTAGTATGCCAAAACTGACATATCTCAATACCAGACGACCTCGAAAGTAATTCCTTTTCCTGTGGCGTTACAGTCCCAAATTGGGCCTAGGCCTACCTCCATGAAACTCTCCGTTTCACTTCGGTTTACTAGATCTTACACATTCGGTAGGACTCCTTGGGCAAGTGATCAGTTCGTCGCAAGGCCTCTACCTGTAGACAAACACAGAAGAACGCACAGAAACATCCATGCCCTGAGTGGGATTCGAATCCACGATCTCTGATTCCGAGCGAGCGAAGATAGTGCATGCCTTAGACCGCTCGGCTACCGTGACCGGCTTCGAAAGTAATTACTGTAGTATAAATCGTCGTGCCCGAAGTGAAACGGAGAGTTTCATGAAGGTAGGCCTAGGCCCAAATGAGGGCTGTAGCGCCAATGAAAAAAAAATCGTCATGTTGGACAGAAATAGGAATGCGGAACTCGGAAGAGGGAGGGGACCGTTACGTTTGAAAGTTTGGAATCATTATTATTATTTTGACGGTGATAGAGAAGAGCAGGAAAGGGCATAGCCAGGCCTGACATAGAGGTATCTAGAGGGACTAACGCTTGGCTCTGAAACATACAGAGAATAGTACGCAGAGTGGAGTGTTGTGCATTGAAACATGTGAAACTTAGTCAGCATGTCAAACGACTACCATTTGCTGTGTAGTTGAACATCTGTTTTAAAATTCTGCAGCCGTTTGTCTTTTTATCTGGTCGACTAAATTTTACTGGATATTTGCCGTAAACTTAAACATGTAATTCTATTTTCTGGGATACAGAGCCGTATATTCCGCTGAAAGTCAACGAATGAATCGGAGAAATACATCGTATCCATCATCAGGAAGGAAGAATAAAGCAAGCAAGAAGCCAGCATAAATTAGGTAGCAAACAGAGCTATGCCTATTCTTGTTAAACGCTGCTGTGAGTACTTCAAGTCAAACTGGAGTAGGTGGTTAAATGCTTTTATATCTAGAAGAGACGCTCGAAAAAGGACCTCAGCAAACTATTTTCTTCTTCATATGCAGAATGGAATCTTAGTGCCTCATGTCACCAATTCAAAGGCCTGCCATCTTCTAGTTGCTTGTGTGGCATTGTTGACGTCACGGTTGTATGTTATGATAATTGTGACTAAAGATGGAGAGACACGGGGGAAGCGATAAAGGCACACTGCTCTACATTCGCCAGGAGCGACAGAAAACCACGAAAATCCCATAATTAGACCGAGGTACCTCCTAAACATGAGACAGCAACTAACTTTTTTTTTTAATTCACTTAGTGGGGGGTGGAGTCCAACTTAGTCCACTCGGCACGTCGGCCACTGATTGGCCTCTCGTAGCCTGGCCCGAGTGATTATGATGATGGAGAATTTGGTGGAATGAAGATTGGAAAGGGAAACCGAAGTACTCAAAGAAAACTCGTCCCAACGCCACTTTGTCCACCACAAATCCCACTTGACCAGACCCGGGATCAAACCCAAGCCGCCGCGTTGGGAAGCCAGCGACTAACCGCTTGAGCTATGACACGGCCTAGCAACTAACGTTACTGGTGTGGCAATTTGTGATCGAATACAAAGCTAATATCATTCGTTGAAGGCGATTATAATTTTTTATTACAATGGAATATTGCAAAATATGGATCAATTTCTGGGGTAAAATGTCAATATAATACGCTACAAACCTACAAACAATTGGACTGTTTTGGTTTCACGAGTCATAGTAACTTGATGTGTGAAATTAATATTATGTCACGTTATAAACGCGACGTCAGGTTGCAGGAAACAGTTATGTCTTTGTTTGCTAAGCTGTGGTGAGTGTTAAGTTACATAATTGCGATATCTAAAGTGCAGTATCATTCCATATATGCTGAACAGATAGGGAAATTTCGGGTTGAAAATGATAGACGTCAGTGACAAATCCATTGGACCTTCATATTTGGGAATACAAATGCCGTCTTTTTTTTTTGTAACATAATCTAAACGGTCGCCAACTTTTATTACATACAACGTATTCTTTTCATCTGTACCACACGAAGTTTATGTTTCGTAAGTGATCATGAACGTGGAATACGACAGTGAAAACTTGGTAGATTTTAAAGAAGAGAATATTCTCGTACAGATGTCGCTAGTGTAGTTAAAGTCAGTTGTAATATTTCTGACATATTTTTATGAATATAATTTCAAATCTGGGTTGGTAGGTTGCGCTGAGTATTTCTTATAGATTGGATCAGTCATACAAGGAAAAAAAAGATTCCGGATATGGCATTCAAATACGACACGATCTCTCTCTCCCTCTCTCTGCCGGATAATTGTAAACCAGCAAACATGATATATAAATTAGTATTGCCC